GGCTGGGTCTTGAGGTTCCTTCGTCCTTCTTCCTCTTTCTTCCCTCTCTGAAACGGTATTCACCAGTTCACAGTAGCTGATGCAGATCCCAGGGCTCGATCCCTGGTCCCCACCTTACCTGTGTACAGTACTTGTGCCAACCCGTAGAGTTGAACCTGCGACCTGTAGGGCTGCCAGTGGTAGGTAGGTCATTGTAGGTTACAGGGTATAGGGGATTCAAACTGTAGACCTGTCGGATAGGAGTCTAGAGAGTCCAGAGGTCTTAGCTGTAGACTTTCCGAAGGGTCAAAGTCGTAGCTGCTACTTACCTGAAAGGGCCCAAGTCGTAGCTACTACAGTACCGAAAGGCCAAGTAGATGCTTCTAGAAGTGGCCTTTCGGAGTCAGCCCACTGTAGGGCAAGGCAAGTGGGCAAGGGGTGGAAGTCCACCACGCAGAGTCAGCAGTCCCAGTCCAGTCAGTCCGGTCCAGTCAAGCAAGTACCGCCTGGGACTATGTGCACCGTGGGCCAGGGAAACAGGGCAGGCCGACGAGCCACAGAAGTATAAATCAAAAGGCCGCGCACAGCCATTCATTCATTCCTGCGAAAGCCATGCGGAAGCGCTGTCTCAGCGTCTTGTGCAAGGAGGTCTGCAGTATGCCCGAAGTCGAAGTGGGCCAGGAGAGCGTAGCATAGCGATAGCGTAGAGGCAGCCATAGCTGCCATAGCTGTAGCCGGTGTGTGTGTGTTGCGTGAGTGTACAGAGTGATGCGTGTGGGATATCCAGGGTGGTCCGGTGTGTGTGAACAGTGGGTTGTTGGGCGCTGAGTCGCCATAGCCAGTGGAAGTGAACTCTTACCTGGAAGCCATATCTCTGAGTATTGAGTGGGCGCATGTCGCCAGTTTGCTGTGCTGCTGTTCACGTGCATGAAAAGTGTGAATGAGACGAGTCTGATTGCACTCTCCCTCTGTGACTTCCTTCTTCTCTATGTCCATGGCTTGGTCCGTTTCTGTAGACTGCTTGTCCCCTCCGGTACTTCTGCGTCTGCGTTTGGTCTTGTCAGATTGTGCAAGAGAGTAGTACGTTTTTTCAGCCAGTTCTCTGATCTTAGCCAACTCGTCCATCGTTTGTAGCTTTTGTTTATCCTCTTCTACAATTTCTTGATTGGTCATTGGTTTGACTAGGTGGCCGACTCCCTCTTGTTCCATCTTCCTGGCCCCTGTCTGCCTCCATACGCTGTCATATGGAGGGTATATATCCAGTTTGACTGATGGTTGTTGAGGCAGTGTCCGTGTGGTGAGATTGTTGTCGAAGATCCAACTGCGGTATTCAGGGCGGTTGATATACCAGATGCCAGGTTTTGTTTCACATTCAACCAACTGTGTTGGATTTGCTTCCTGGCGTCTCCCGGCTGCCCGATTAGCAGGGCAATTGGGGCCATTCCCCAAGTGTCCGCGTCCTCTGCAACGGAAGCAGGCTGGGTTCTTTTTTGTGGAAATGTGGACTGTTGCTCGCTGGCCATTCTTCCGAAAGAGCCACACTTCCGGGAAGGCTGGCGGTTCTCCTCAAGGTACACTCAGACACACGATCCGAGAGTCATGGTTTGGGGCGAGGAACTCCAGTCCAGCTTCCAGACATGTCACAACCGGGTTGTTGGGCTACTCCGATTCCAGCCGCTTGTGAATCATGCTGTGAAGCGCTTCCGACAGATTGTCGAATTGCACCCAGAAGTGTTCCCGTAACATATTTTGGCGATGGCGTGTTGCTTCTCCTTGCGGTACCCTCAGTGGTTTCCAGCCTCTGATAGTGACGACCGATCCCTTGCAGTTGAGGGAATCCAATGATTTCAAGTACTTGGCGTAGGTCTCGTCCACACAGAGTACCATAACTGTGTTTCTTCCCCTCTTGTGGAGGGATATGTTCGGCTCCTTTCCGGGGAGAGTCTGCAGAGCTCTGAGACGATCAAGCACCCAGGCGCGTTTGTCATTGAGGGAGAGTTCCTTACTCTTATGAGAAAAGTTGAAGAGTACCACGTGGTTTTCATAGAGGGCGTTCACTTCTTCCATAATATTCTCTTCGGGGTACTCCCAGACATCCACCTCCATCTCCTCTCCGCCTTCCACCCGCAGTTTTTCTTTGAGAACTTTGACCTGTGATCTGATCCTGATCCTGGTTATCAGGAAGTCGAGTGCCCGTTGACCTAGTTTGGTCGGAGGTTGCTTGACTTCCTGATCGCCTGTGTCCTTGTTGTTAGCAGTGAAGGGCCCGGATGACGTAGCATGTGGCGCTGATGGTGACTGGTGGTTTGGTGGGATTCCTGAGGGAATGATTCCCACTGCCTCCGCGTAAGAGATCTCCATGTTGGTCTTCGCCTTTGCACCTGATGACGCCATTAAGGGCTCGGCCTTTGACTCCCAGTTCCGTCTGTTTGTGGTTGATGGCTTCTTTCCCGTTATGCTCTTCTTCGGCGTCCTTGATGTTGGCCTTCTCTTGTATAATCTTCTCTTCCTCTCGCTGCTGTCACGGTGGTGTGATTGTCTCGACCCTCTCGTCCCTTGTATGGTCCTCTCCTCGTTTGGCCGCTGTTACGCTGGTGTGTTGGCACCCCTTTTTTCAGAACGCAAAAATTTGGTCCCGTCGCTACCGGCCATGTCGGTGGCGGGGGTCTCACGTGGCGTGTTGCCTCTTGCAACCCTACACGTTGCCAGTTGGGTTCTACACGTTCTACCCTCTGATGGGGAATGTGAGAACCCACCGAATGGTTCTGGTCGTTTGTTGTTGGTTTTTTTTTTTTTCTACACGTTTGTTCTACACGTTCTACCCTCTGATGACGATTGTTGTTTTTTTTTTTGTTTTTTTTTTAGTGTCCGACGTGGCGCGATGCCACGTGTACGCTGTTCACGCGTTGTCTGTCTGTCTTGGTCACAAGGACATTCTCTCTCTGTAATCAGTGTCCGACGTGGCGTGATGCCACGTGTACGCTGCTCATGCGATGTCTGCCTGCTTCCGCGGTGGTTCTCCCTCCGTTGGCAGCTTCCATGCGATGTTGTTGCTGTTTTTTATCTTTTTTGAAAAACCGTCTGTGTCCCTCGTGGTGCGATGCCACGTGTACTCAGTTCGTACTTCGTCTGGAACTCGTTTTTCTTTTTTTTAACTAAGGTATACTCTGATCTCAAATTCATCTTTTTTACTACCTACCCATCACTTCTACTAAGCCTATACAGGAGACCCCTGCAAGCATAACTACCTCTCACAATCAAGGGGATTCATGTTGCCCCCGGCTCTAATCGGCGGTGGTCAGGGTGTAGGGTGTGGTCGCTGGTCAGGCGGGGGGTAGGGAGGCTAAAGCAAACACCAGGCATTTTGCCAGTAGCTGGGCCTCCCATCTACCCCTCCCCCCCCTCGGCCATCGAGTAACAGCAGTGTCTAAGGCCGACACTCCCCCACACAACCCACATAACCCACACAAACACACCCACCCACCCATGATGGACAAAGAACCTACCAATACTGACCAGGGGGAGCAAGCCAACTATGTCAGTTGGATGGCACCAAGCACGCCCCAGGCGAACAGAGGCGTTTGAACCCATGACCTCCTGAATGCCACACGTGCCTAACCAACTGGGCTACGTGTCAAAGTGCCAGAAGAGTAACAAACTTATATATACAGTCCACGTGCAGCGGAGTGCCTTTTCAGAGATAATCAGGCCATCCGGACGTCCAACAGCTGATCATACTTGTCACACAGAGAGAGAGAGAGAGAGAGAGAGAGAGAGAGAGAGAGAGAGAGAGAGAGAGAGAGAGAGAGAGAGAGAGAGAGAGAGAGAGAGA